ATAGCCCCCTATCTTCCCGTCTTGCCCAGCTTGATGGTACGCCACGTGGGCCCATAAAGTATCAGCGTCCGTGGTCGGGGGCCGGTGATGGTTCCCCCACGGGCAATACCTGACTAGCTCATCAACGTCTCCTTCGTTCCCCTTTTGCCCCGAGGATCCTGTTCGTGACGCCATGACCAACCTGACGGTGGGTGGTTGGACCCAGAAAAGTATTACGCAAACAGGCCGGGGACGAAAGGGTTACGGGGCCTTGTTCCTCCTTCTCCTGTCTCTCTCTCCGTCGACAGAAAACACCAAGGAGGCGGTATAACAAATAAATGCTTTACTCACACTTTCGTATAGGTGGTTTCCTTTACAGCAGTTTCAAGAATAAACTCGCTGTTAACTCAAGAGCTCTAATTCGGTCGTGATGGGGGGCGTCCGGGGGGAAGGGATTTCGTGGACACAGGACCTCCAGTGAGGGTGATCAGGCCTCTCCGATATGGCGTGGGTCCCAGCTTTTTTGGCGCGCGCGCTTTTTCTTTTAAATGGGCTGCATCCGCCCGCCCCCTGCCAATCAGCCCAGGACCGCCGATCTCGCGGCTATCAGGTCGCGCCCACTACTTCCCCCACGCCACGAGCACAACTTGCTCTCATGCTTGGTGTTTGGTCATTTATATTTTCTTTTTCTTTATCACAGCACTATAACCATTGTGCAAAGAATACAGAAAACCTATAGTCACTTTAAAATACCATTTTAAAGATACTGCAATATAATCCTTCCAACGCCAACTAGCTCTTATTTTTATCCTTTTCTTAAAGAACTCTCCAGTTTGCTGAATAAAGTTACATTCAGCAAGGGGAATATTTGTGATGGATTGAATATTACTACCTGTGGTCCTATTTGAAAATGTCTGATATTTGTATATTCAATAATATCCTAGTTTTCAAGGAGAATATCAGATTATTTCTCTCAAAATCTCTCCCTCATCATCCATTCATGGGATTATTCACATGGCTAAAATTAAACTTGCAATTAAGTCCTTTGGTGTATACAGCTCTAAAGGCAGGGCTATTGTTTCTGTGTTGTGCTCTGATGAAAGTATTCCCATGGCTGACCACAACGGGTATATAAGACTAAGGCTAGGGACAGAAGTTACACATAAACTGGTTCAAGTAAGTAGAAACTGGTTTAAATTTGTAACAGAACAGAAGCTCAGTGCACATAAACCACAAAAGGGCTGAAACTGGTTTGAGATAAACCTGGTTGAATGTAGTATCAGACTTAACTGATTTGGGTCAAACCAGTTTATGCAACTTCTGTCCCAGACCCCTTCCTGGTTCAAGTTAAATCATAGTCCTACAGCATCCCAGCATGCTTTCCAGTCCTGGGCTGGGCTGGGCTGTGCTGGGCTATCTGCTTCAGAAAGCAGGGTTGGCTCTGCCCCTCTGCTCCTTAGCTGGAGTAGTGAGGGCTGGTTGACAAGGGGGGTAGGGAGCCTGGCTGGGGATACAACTCAGTCTAAGCTGGGAGGAGGGAGGGGGAATGCCCCCCCCCCCCCCCCCCCCCGCAAACCCTGGTTGGGGTCTGGGGGCAGGGAGGGGAGTTAAATATCCCTTCCCCAGCTCAAACTTAGCACAGGCTGCAACGGTGGACTACAAATACCAGAGTAAAAACTGTGGACTTCCAAATACCTGGAAGCAGGAAGAGGAAGTGAAGATCAACCCTTCAAAGTCCTGCTGCTGTAAGTCTGGACTGCAAATCCCAGAGACCTCAGAGGCAGCAGGAAGAGGAACTGAACCTGAGTCATGCTCTAGCGGCCCCTGGCTTCTGGCCTGAGCCAGGCATGTAGCTGCATTTCCTGAATCAAAGATAAATATCTGTTTACATCTGTTTCAATGTAATTTGTGCAGCTTAGACTAACCTTCAAAGACTGAATCAATTCAGCCTTCGGCTTTTTGACTGTCTGTACCTAGCTTAAGTGATAATGAAAAAGCAGCTTCACTTTCTGGTCAAGTCAGAGTGGCCTGTTTTTCTGGAATATATTGGGTGCATCTACATGAGATGCTAACTGCACAGTAGCCTAACAATACTGCACAGTAGCATGTCATGCACAAACAGTGCTAATAAGGTACTGCACAGTATTATTAAGCTACTGCGCAATAGTGTCACTTAAAAGGCATGTGCCAGCACTACTACACAGTAACGCCGGTTACTGCACATTAATTTTTTACTTGATTATACAAGTACTAAACTTAATATGCAGTAACTGGCACATGAATGAACATATAGGCACACCCAATATCTAACATTTTCTTTCCTACATTAAATATATGTGGATTAGTCAGCAATGGCGGTACTTGAATACAGCTAACCATTGGTTGTCCAGGGGCTCTTTAATTTAACTGGATTTATTTATAATTCTATGCTAATAAAATTTTCTTATAAATCACATGCAGAGTAGATTAAAAACTAAGAGACATTATCTAACACAAAAGAGCCAGAAAAGAAATAAAGAACTTGGGCAGAAGGATAATAGTATATAGAATAAG